ATTAGATATAAAAATATATATTTAACTAATTTACATAAACTAATTAATATATCCTTAAAAATGATTATGATTAAAATATTTGCAAACATGAAATTCAAATGTCATCCATGAATAAATTGTAACATAAGACATAAACTATAAACTGTAAAAGGTATAAGTATACAAAAAATTATTTTATCAAACACCTATAACCTAGTTACCCGTTCATGTAGAACTTGATTAAGAGTTAATATAAAAGTGTTACAATGAATATATAGATTTTTTTTTTTTGGTATTTTAATAAGTTTTTTGGATGTTTTTTTACATTAAAACGTCCGATTAACTATTTTATAGATAATTTGAGAAGTGTCTTATAAATTCACTTTATATTAAACATTTTATGAAATAGTGTATTATAAAGAAGCAAATACGATAATTTATTTTAAAATATCCTGAAGAATTTGTTAAACCGTACAAAAATATCATATAAACCAGAGACACAGCAAGTTCGGATAAGCAAACGAGGCCGAATTGCCAAAACATTTGGTCCAGATTTCCAACTGTATTTGGTGGAAGGTTCAAGAGATGAGTTTGAGATTCATATTCTTATTGTTATATTATTGATAATGACCCAAAAACTTTCCAAGAAGCAGCGGAGTTGGGAGATGCTGTATTTTGGAAGGAAGTAATTGATGATGAAATGTCATCAATTATTAAGAATAACACTTGGGTGTTATCAAATTTGCATCTAGATTCTAAACCATTGGGATGCAAATGGATCTTCAAAAAGAAGATGAAAGTTGATGGGAGAATTGATAAATTCAAGGCCCTACTAGTCATTCAAGAGTTTAGACAAAAACCCGGTATTGACTATTTTGATACACATGCTCTGGTAGCACGAATTTCGACTATTAGATTGTTAATAACCTTAGCAGCAATACACAATCTGGTCATCCATCAAATGAATGTTAAACAACCCTTTTAAATGGTGATCTTCATGGGGAAGCTTATATGAAACAACCACAAGGTTACGTTATGCCCGAAAACAAACATAAGGTATGTAAACTGGTGAAATCCTTGTACAGGTTGAAACAAGCACCTAAACAATGACATCGAAAGTTTGATGAAGTTATTTTGTCATTTTGTTTCGCTTCAAACCAATGTGATAAATGTGTATATAGTAGATTTAATGCTACAGGTGCAGGTGTGATCATTTGTTTGTATATAGATGACATGTTGATTTTTGGGACTGACCAAAATCAGGTAAACAAAACTAAGAAATTGTTGTCATCTAAATTTTCAATGAAAGACATGGGAGAGGCTGATGTAATCCTTGAAATAAGGATTAGACAGGTTAATAAAGGGATCATTATGACACAATCACATTATATTGAGAAAATGCTCAAAAAGTTCAATTATAGTGATTGTTCTCCCATGAGCACTCCTACGGATCCTAGTGTGAAATTAATGCCAAACACGTGCACCATTATTTCACAACTAGAGTACTTTAAGGCCATTGGTAGCTTGATATATGCCATGACGAGCACCAGGCCTGATATAGCATATGTCGTAGGACGGTTGAGCCGGTATACTAGTATTCCTAGTATTCAATAGTGGCAAGCGGTTCAAAGAGTATTCAAATATCTTAGAGGAACCATGGATTATGGTTTGATTTATTTGGGATACCCTTCGGTTCTAGAAGGTTATTCGGATGCAAGTTGGATATCCAACATGGAGGATCATTCCTCAACTAGTGGTTGGGTATTTTTGCTTGGAGGAGGTGCCATTTCTTGAGCATCAAAGAAACATACCTGTATCACAAACTCTACAATAGAATCTGAGTTTGTTCCATTAGCTGCTGTCGGTAAAGAAGCAGAGTGGCTAAAAAATTTAATTTATGATGTTCTATTGTGGCAAAATCCAATTGCACCTATTTCTATCCATTGTGATAGTGCAGCCACGTTGGCTAAGGCTTATAGCCAAGTTTACAATAGGAAGTCTAGACACTTAGGTGTTAGACATAGTATGATTAGAGAATTAATCATGAATGGTGTAATCTCTGTCGAGTTTGTTAGAACGCAACAAGGCAGATCATTTAATTAGAGGTTTGACAAGAAACTTAGTGCACAAGTCTGCAATTAATGTGATTGAAGTCCTTATAAATTTATAATGATGAGACATCCAATTCCTTTTTAATATGACATTAGAAGCTGAATTCAATGAGGAAAACTCACACTTATAAATTGGAACACAATTTGAATCATCCCGGGTATTTGTTCGATACTGCAGTGGATGGGTTGAAGATTATCTTCTTAATAATTCATTTGATAAAGTATATTTGCAAGTACACGAAGTAAATGAATTACGGATTACCTATGTGATTGTGAAGTGTAATTGCATTTCAAAAGGTTGGGAACTTGGTCTTTATACAATCATAGAGGATTATGACACACGACTTATAATTGTGTCATGTTTATTTTAATAGACGCCTATAGTAAACTTGTATGTATTTTATCTCTAGGTATTCGAATGAGTTAATGGGTTCAATTCTTGGGACACCTTGATTCTCGAATATTTGGACGTGTAAAGTACTAATATGGAAATTCAATACTAATATGGAAATTCAATCAATTCGATATTTTCATTTTGTGCAAGTTTGGTTTGTTCAAATTTAAGAAGTTATTTCATGGGTTACACCAAAATAGGGGAGGATTGTTGGTGATTTTAGTGTCACCCACCATTTAAGTATAATTGGAAGTAACACGAGTGCTATGAGTTTTCATATTGTGTTACAATATAATTCAGGATATGCAGAGTGCACACTTGTATATAAGGCGAGTTTGATCTTGAACACGATAAAAATGGCGGGGGTCAAGGGGGCAGAGCCCCTGGCGGTTTGGGGCAGCACCCCAAAAGCTCTTTAGAATTTTGGACTTGGAATATAATGGAAAAACGTATCCGGACTTGGTGCACGTCCAGAAGCAGAAACATATCTGGACTTGGTGCACGTCCAGAAGCAATTACGGTGCAGTTAATGCCAACTCATGATCTTAGCAAAACGATTGTAATTGTCCATTACTCCTAATAATGAACCATGATTGTCATTTCAGTTATTTTATGGAATTAGTATAAATACGATTTATACTTACGCTTTAGCATACGATTTTTGAAAAAATGTTGATATACTCTCTAGTAAACTTGTTCTCATTTTTGGTGGAATACTTGTATAGTATGTGTACTTATTAATATTGTATTTCATTTCAATCGATAGAAAGTCCTCATAGTCATAAGACATTGTTCAGCAAAAATAAGTTAGCTTATTTTCTAGGTACATATTTAAATGTACATATTAATATATTATTTCATTTCAACCGGTAGAAAGCACTTATATTTGTAAGGCATTTTTGGCAAAAAAAAAATTAATTTATTTTCTAGGTACATGTATGAATGCATATAAGCTAGCTTATTGAATTACTAATTGGAGTAACGTTTTAGTAACTTGTTGTTTCTTTTTCCAATTATGACCTCCATTAATATTAATGTATTATTTATTATTATTAATTATAAATAAATATTAATAAAATATAAATATTACTAATATTAATTAATTATCTATCATATATTATTTACTAACTATTTACGATTATTAATTACTAATCATATCAATTGTTTTCATATTTTTTTAAACTATTATTCAATATATTAAAAAGACTCTTGTTTTCATCACTTGTGTTTCACAATTATACTACACCCTACGGTTTTCATTTCTTTTAACGACCGACTATTAGCAAGTATTCCAGGAGTACGAGGTTCAAGAATGGACAAGAGCAACAATATTGTCTAGTACTTATATTTCTATTAATAAAGTATTAGATTTTGAGATGTTTATTAGACTTTACGTTTGAACATTATTTGTAACATAACCCTGTTTGGGACGGGTTAGTATTTACGTTTATACTTTATAAGTCTTTTGCCTTGACAGACTTTATTAGCCGTTATGTTTTAGGATTATTTATTGTTAATTAGAGAGAATGATCTAGCACAACTCATGCTAAAAATGAGGGTGTTATAATTAGCATGCGGGTTTAGCCGCTTGGAAAACCGTATTAGGGTCTGTTTACCCATAAATTCTCGGTTCAAATCTAGGCGTTACCAAAACCCTTGTAACCATTAAGGTTCACTTGCATTAATGACTCCATCTGATAGATTAGTCGACATACGTAAGCTGCTGAAACGAAGACTTATGATATTTTTATTAGTACAATCCAATGAGAAAAACAACATTAGTTCAAACACACAAAGTACCATGGCTCAATAAGACATAAAAAACACAATTGGAGTACAAACATCGACATTTCATTCTTACCTTGTGCTCCTGCTCATTACTCTTATATCGTCGATCAAACGATCCAAATTTCTAGTCGAAGAACCTGTATCCTCGCTTATCGACTCTTTTGAAAGATTTGCCCAACAACGTGCCGATCGTGTAAACATGTCTTGTCTCACGTCCATCACGTCCCTTATCGCCTTTTCAACAATCACCATATCGCACTTGTCTTTCATGTCTATTCCCACCTTCCATACCTCTTCCACAAATCGACTATTCACAAATTGGTCGACATAAAACGGCCAACAAATCATGGGAACGCCCTCCACTATACTTTCCATGGTCGAGTTCCAACCACTATGTGTCAAAAACACACCAACGGCTTGATGGGCGAGGACCTCTTCTTGTGGAGCCCAATCTACGATGCACCCCATTCGTGCAGTATGATCAATTAACTCACTCGGAAGCTGAGTCTGATCGTACCCACCAGTGATTGATCCCGGCCGTCTCACCCACAGAAACGGTTTCCCACTGTTAACCAAACCATGCCATATCTCGAGTAGCTGATTGACTGTGGTGGATGACAGACTCCCAAAGCTAACATAAACAACGGTTTTTGGAGGGTGTTTGTCAAGCCACGACAGGCAACTTCTATCTTCTTCCCAAACGCTGTTGGAAAAGGTGGTTTCCGGCGATGATTGTTCGGTGTCGGCGGTGAGTCGAGCTTTGTGGAGAGAGTGCAACGGGCCTATAGTGTAAATATTTGGGCAGAGGTTTCGCATGTGTGGGAGTAGGAGAACATCTAAGTGTTCGAATGTGTTGAGTATGAGACCTTGAGCCAGAGGGATGGTTCGAGCTTCTCGCAAGGTACGTTGAATTTCAGGGTCGGATAAGTCACTGAGACGACAATAAGGAGCAAGATCCCGTCGCCGGAGAATATTTTGTGCCCCCGGCACATTTTTTACCAGTTCATCTAAATCATTACCTAAAAAACAATGAAAATGAGTAGGGATTTCAATTATTTTGTCTCAATCCAAACTAACCAACGATTTAATTTATGTTCCCAAATGCAGAGAAATACGAACCTTTGAAAGGAACTTCTCCAGCTTCAATAAGCGCAGGAAGATTCAAATTAGAAGTCCACAAGCTGCATGGACTAATTGTTTCGAAAGAAATCACCGGAATCGACAATTCTAAACCTATTTCCACCGCAAAATTGAACACCCCATCTGGTATTATCACTGTCACCGGCCGCTCCGATTTACTACTCAGGTGACCGGAAACCATCATCTCCTGGAAAAGTGGTTTGCTCACAGCATTAATAGCATCCATGACCTCCTCAAACCGGTCGCCGGAGACAGGGTTTTCATGCTCGAGTCCATCTGGGATGGTCTCGAATCTGAAGTTTGGGTATCGGTTGAATCGGGATAAGACTTGAGTGTGGCGCAGGAGAGGGCGGTGGATGTGATGGGTGTTGAGGAAGGTGACGTGGATGCCGGAAAGACATAGGAGTTCGGCTAATTTAAGAGCACAGTTGACCGGGCCTTGGAAGGGTATCGGAAAAATGAGCACATGAGGTTCGTTTTCTTGATGATTTTGGTCCATTTTTTTGTATCAAATTCTATGGGCAAGATGAAATGTTGTAAGAAAGTGGTAGGTATGTATGTATGTATGTATGAATGGAAATGGAGTCGACAAAATATTGTTATAAAAAGATTAGGAATACTATATTATATTAGAGGTGATTTATCATGCATTCCAACTTATTATTATAATTAAATCTTAACCATACATTTGATTTAGTTAATATATGATTTTATAAAAGGAAAAGTAAAAAAAAAATAAGTAGGCTTTAGTGTTTGAAATGATTAAGTATATGAAATTTTTTTTGGAATAAATAAGCCTTTGGACAATCAAAAACATGTTAAATAAGTCCCGAACTTTCTAAAACATGTTAGATACATTCTTATGACACATACAACTAATTAATATGGAAAAATAATGGAAAAATATAAAAAATGGTCTATGGACTTTATATTCTGAACGATTAAGTTCATAAACATTTTTTGAACTAAAAAAGTATTTAAATCTATAAAATAAAACGGATATAACAAAAAGAAATACTTACATTTAAAAAAATTATGGATAGAATTTATTTTAACTAAAAATAAAATATATTTTGTCAGTGATTTTTCAAAATAAAAAAAGATTTAAAAATAATTAAAAGA